AACGCAGTCACGGAGAAAGTGACAGTACGATCAAGTCTTACGGTCAGCATGTCCCATACTTAGCGGGCTCCATAAATACAGTGTCAGGCGCCAAAAACTGACAAACTGGTAAATATATCCCGTGCCAGGCAAATGCAAGGGGGCATCTCAGATCTTCCATTGCAAGACGATCTCTTGATCTAGTTCATTTCCGGATGAAGCCACACACAGCTAACGTGAACAACGGTACAATGCAGTTTTCGTATTGGTGCCATACAGCGCATGACGATACGACATTGCCTCTAGCTTAAAGTCGTCACAACTTTGCATGGCTAGGTCGGATAGGTGCAGATTCTTCAAATGGGACACGGCAGATGCTCCGCGGCACATGGCAAAAGAGGTCCGCTGCGACCTTCTGGATCCCAACTCGTAGCTCCACGCCCGCGCCGAAGATGCGCGTAAAGGCCACGTTGTAGACGAAGTGCTGACCTTCAGGCGAGCCGCAGCTTGGACGCGGAGAGATTTTTTTTTGAAACGCCCATCACACAAACCGGGACACAGCTTTTTTGTTTTTTCAGTCCGTTGCATCTTCTTTGAAGCCTAACCAACAAAGTTCAAGTCGTGCACTGCAATCTTCACAGTTGGCTGGAAACACCTCTCACTCAAACACGCCCTTGACTCGGCTGGATTCCTTGGTTTGTGGCTGGTGAGCTGTGCCTATGCCAAGATAGGCCCCGCTGAAGAGAGCAAAGGCACAGTTCCGCTGAAGGTTCAGCTCCTCTTTCCTGCAAAGCCATAAGTTGCGTCCAGTCTTTGAAGGTCATGTGACGCTCTACAAACAGAAATCCCCGAGAAACGATAAACCTATTTCCGGTAGTGATAGATTCCATTTAAAACCAACAGGGGAGGATAAAACTGTTCTTAAACTGTTCTTAAGCAATTGCCACATGGGGAACTTGCAACGCGGCCTCATGCGCTCTATTTCGAGCCGCCAATCCTGGGGTCGTGGTGTCGATGAGACGAAACCATCTTGCCTATGGCACTCAGCTCAAGGTGTTGACTTAAGCTGCAGAGACTTCCGAGGGATCTGCGCGAAAGCAGCACTAGGCCAACTCCTATTCTAAAGAGAACTCTACAGCACAAATGTTCCAACATGTTCAATACGGATCATTGACTCGCACATTTAAACCCCGCAACACTTTGTCTTTCCAGTGGCCATGGCTTCCAGGGTGCCACGAGGACATTCCCACTCCGTCCTCTCCACCACTTTCTGTGCCACTGCGTCCGAGGCCGAGCCTTTGGCAAGGCAAGTGGCAAATGCCACCGACAGAGGTGCTCTCTTCGAGACGTCGCGATACCTGGCCGGGCTCTCAAGTGATGACTACTCCGCGCATATGTATCATTAAGTCACCCCTCGTGCCTGACACTGTGCATAGGCTGGCTGCAAGCAAACTTCTTGAGGTCGGAGCTTTTTCCATAGCCCAAACTCTCTCAATGCAAACATCATATCAAACACGCAGCTTCCACCGCAAACTCATTGTCGGATGAGCGAACAAAACACGAGAGCATCCCTATGGGTACTGGTCACATCTAGCCTCTGCAGCAGCCGCGGAAAGAACGCCATGGCAACGGGCTTCGATGAGGTTCGATAGCCGCAAGGCAATTTGGCATGTGGCTGAGTGATCCGTTCTTGATCATGTCTCTCGCAGCATTGCTATGCTTGAAAGGGGATGCAGTGGAGAGGCCCTGGATGTTGCTTGCATGTTGTGCGTGTCCTTAAATGACAAATGCTGCAACTGACAAGCAACGGCATGCCTCCTTCGCCTTGCCGTGATGAAACAATGAAAGACAATGAAAGACATCAGCCAAGTGGGTCTGTTTTTTTTGGGGTCCCCTCCCAACAAATTGTTGGTGTCCTTTTGGTTTGCCATTAAAGCCAACAAAAAGGGTAGCCTCAAAACAAGACCTAAGAAAACAACAACAAGCGGCACTCAAAGCCCAAAGCTAGTGCAACCCAACGGATCTGTTGAGTCGGCGACTAATCGGCAGGTGTAGTTCTCCAGGCCGTACCTCGGAAATTTATCTCGGCGGGTGTGGCGTTTTCTCAGACCTGTTTATGGTTGTTTCCATGGAGAGACAAAAGGAACACACCTACTGGGGGGTCTTTTTTTAAAAGACACACCTATTTCGCTCCCACTGATGGCACGAACAGCTCTGGGGTCACTATACAAGCAGTTTCTAATCAACAGCGCAAAGAAAGCTGCTAGTGCACAGTGTCACGTGCGTCAGGAAGAATTCCGACCAGCAATACAATCTCCGCTACGCCACCCATAGGCGACGCATACACAGTCTTTTGGATCACGCCTCATACAAGCCACCAGTTCAAATACGTTGACTTGTTGGTTGGACCGCACCATCCTTTTCTCGGAAACGTGACCAAACTGACTGCCCCAGCGGAAATCCTATCCTTGATATACTCCAACTCTCTGTCGCGCGTCGAAAACGGTTTCCCTTTGGACACATGCCATCGAGTGCTTCCCCCGCTCTCCGGTTTCCGAGGGCTCCACTCGCCAGGGTCCACCTTCTGGTCTATCTCGTCTGCCCTATCTGGGAAGATGGCCTGCCGATCCGAAGGGACGCTTGCGCTCGCCCCTCGGGGATGCCTTTCTCAATGTCATGTTGACTCCTCATTCATAAGGCCCCCAGTTTTTCATCAGGGGAGTCCCCTTGGAAGAAAGAAATCCCAACGGAAAAGATCTCAAAAGGGACCTTCCTGATGAATAACTGGAGGGTTTATTAATCACGAGACAACATTAACTAATCTCTCACTACACATGGAATTATGTCTAGTCAGCCTTCTTTACGTGTAGTTTTCTGGAGATGCATCGTTCGACTCATTGCGCGCATATTGCTCGAATGGAGAGATTGAGCTCCGCGGTATCCAAGCCGACAATAATTCCAATGAAACCTCTTGGGCTCACTGGCCAAACGTCCAACTATCATCTCTTCTGACTTCATCTGCAGGCTCCTTGTTAACAACTTGAGAGGACATGTTCGGTTGAAGGAACCTGAACATGTCAGTGGCCTTGAATTCTGCTTGCTTCACCCCACACCATGCCTTCAAGCTATCACGCACGAAGACTCGTGTGCTCCAAATGTCGAAGCTGAAGAGTCTGGCCGGTGAGAAGGTCGTGCCTAAGCTGCAACTCAGCTGTGGGGATCTTGCTTTATGGTGAACATAACAAGGACTTGGAGACTTCATGCGCCAAGGATTGGCTTGTGCTCGGTGATACACCCTTTACAGCCTCTTTTCCATTCTCGAACGTGCCAAAGCGATGCTTGGTTTCCACGCCCCCTGGGCCGCGACAGTTGGCAGCATCTGGACAGTCCTGGTAAATGAACAAGAGACCAACGGTTGCTGGTACGTTTCCCCCACCCTTGCGCGCAATTGGATGGATGCTTTCAAGATGAACTGCTGGCAAGGTTCTCTAACTTTGACCCATCCCCTGCCGGTTCCCCATCAACTCGTTGGCCTTTGAGCCTCCAACTGGTTGCCTCTGGACCTCCAGTTTTCAAGCAAACCCCATGGGCCCATGAGCAGCCCTTGGGAGGCAGACTCAAGCAACTGAGACAGGTCTGGCAGCATGCCGCACACTGACCCGTCTCGAACACCAAAATGCGTAAAAAAGAACAAACACAAACCTCAAATGTGGAGCCAGCCGGTGGAAGCTCAACCCGTGGGGATCAGGTTAGCATCCCTTGGAACCAAAGCCAGTGAACTGTTGTCACATGCCACGTGCAATTCAAAAACCTGAAGGCGGTAAAGACCAGCGATATTCTGATCTGATCCTTGATGGATGCTCCAAAATCGCAGAGGTGCATCTGCCTCAGAATCAGCGAAGCGCTGTCTGTGAAAGTATCGCAGTCACAACTTGGAGGGAAGAAATGCCTACGTATTCAAGCATGATTGAAGTAGCGTATGCATTGTTCCTGATCCTGAGCAACAGATTCCATGTACGTTCTCTGGGGTTGCCTCAGGGTCAGGCCCAGCGAAGGGATACATCATCAACTGCTCCTCGCGGCATGACAGGCCAAAGTGGCTGAGGCATTTGATGCAACCCCGCTTGACAAATCGAGAGCCCTCAACATGCGAAGTCTTAGCCATGATCATGTGTGCGCACGTGTGGTGTCATGGCTTCATGAACCTCTACATGACGAAAGCAAGCGCGCCAACACATCTTCACGCGAGTTTGCACGATGAATTGGTCGTTTCAAATCCGCGCGCAGGTCTTCGTCAATCCCTGGTGATCCAACTTGGCTTCTGCCCCGCTCTTTCACTTCAAGTTAGTCCAACCCTCCCATCCTCGCCAATCATGGAGAGGAGAAACCCCTGCATTAGCAAGTTCAGCCTGGAGAGAGGAACTGCGCAAATAACCGAGAATTCATGGCTTCACTGCAATGCATGTTCAGGATAAAACAACTTTCCTGGGTGTTCCTGCATCCACTGTTGCCAACTGAATATGACACGTCCCATGCTTCCGGAGCAGTTGAACGGCAATTCTAACAGGCCAGGTGTGCAGGGAGAAAAGGTAGACGCGCAGCACCACGCTCACCAGCGAGGCAGGCCACCCGCAGCCTTTGCATCTGTGCGTCGACTTCCAACAGGTGTTTTTTGAAGGACACCCCCCCCCCCCCGTTTTGGTTCACTTTAAAGGGAAGCCAAAGGACAAACGCCATTTCGTGGGTCCGATGAAAAATGTCATTCTTGCTGTACCCCAATGCCAGGCTCGAAGACTTGGCCGCGGTCTCTTAAAGGAAATCTTCCATCTGTGACGTTGACAAAACCAAGCGATGGTGTGATCAAAACATAAGGATTGAAAGCTGAATGAGACGGATTACCATTCAGTACCCTGCAAGTGGCCGGGTTTGGTGGATGCCCGGTGGAGTCTTGGCAGTGACACTCTTCCAGCGCCGTATTGGTGTATCGATGTCCTTTTGCGTGCGTACAAGCTCAAGTTGCACTTTGCTCCTTTCGTCCACCTTCTTCGAATTCGGCAGCCTGTGTGTATGTTGCTACACGACGACATTCTGAGTTGTCGCCTTTGCCGCTCTTTCGAGCGGCACCTTGGGGCATATGCCTGATATACACGTCGCCCATTCAATTGCATTTGCCTGATATGCACGGCGATGTGGCAAATGCATTGACGCGGCTTGATGCTAATGTGCAAGGGTCGACATTCATTGTGCCCAAAAACTGAGACTGGAATTGGGTGAGCAGCCTTCCTTTGCTGCTGGCAAGTGCAACAAGAGTACGCCCTATGACATCTCCTTTACGGATCAATGAGAAACCTTTGGATGTGCAGCCATGTGGCTGCGGGCGATCTGGGGCATGGCCACCGCGGCCCCGTAGACCTTGAAAAAAGCGAAGAACCATGTGTGTTTGCGTGTTTCTTTTTGGAATGCTCTCTGCGAGGGACAAAGCTCTTAGACGCTTGCTGGGCAACCGACACTTCGGAACAAAGCAGTGAGATGTGTTGTACTCGCTGAACAATCTGACCAGTCCTTGCTGCCTTACAAGCAGCAGAATCAGATATCATGCAGCGGATGAGGTGTGTTGGACCAGAGCCGCCACACCTCGGCCCTCATTTAGCGGTAACGAGTTCTTGTTTCTTGCCCAGCTGGCTTTTTCCTAGCGCTGGTCTTTCGCATCCCCAGCATCACCCGCCTCACTTTGGTGACCTCTTGTTGCCTGTTGGCTCTGATTGTTACAGTCGTGAGGACAGGTCTCAATAAGCGGTGAACAACGTGCAGGTACAACAGCCTTCCACGAGTTACAGAAGCGCTTTCAAGCATTCCCAATCCCCGCTGGCAATTTGGAAGCCCTTTGAATGGCACAAAAGGAAATCAGGGTTTTGCGACTGTGACCTTCCACTGATCCGGTGAACCACGCACCGAGCGGGCCCAATCCACCAGCCCACGGCGTTGTTTCCTGACATGCCGAATGCGAGCTGCTGGGCCCCTTGGCAGAGTCTGCCTCGATGCAGCAGAATCCATCCATGTCTATCCTCGGCGCTGACAAGATTACCCCCGCCCTTTTCCCGACTCAGACTTCTGGAGCCAACTAGCCAATCAAACCTTGCAATTTTTATTGTGTGACCTGGCAGTAGCCCACTTAGTGTTTCAAGCCTTGAGATTAAGACTTGGGAAGCCTGCAATCAATGTGATACCTACCTGGGCTGCTCAGCCCAGGAGACCGGTGTTCAAACCCTGCGGCCAAAGAGACATATCAAATTTTGCGAAGGCTTGCATGGTGACGCGGTATAAGAGGTTCCTTTCGCGAAAGGTTCGATAGGCAAAACAAAAGTTTTTGGTGAATCTGTCGTGAGCTCGTGCATGATAAACCGTGCTTGGAAAACCATTTGCGGCTAGGAAAAGGCAACATGCTGAAACGATATTTCCTCCCGAATACCATTTTTAGAACGTCGCTCGGGTGTAAGCAATATGTCAAGCAAACCTTCTGTAGCGCTATTGTTCACACACCTGCTGTGGATTCAGGGACACAGTGACTGTGAGGTCTAAACGATGGCAAACCATGGAACCACTCACATGCATTGACTCTGATCTACCATCAAACAGTCGATTCAGAATCGCAATCTGAATGCAATACAAGTACCTTGATCAGAATGCCAATTTGTGGATCAGGCAAGCGAAGACATCCTCCAGCCACTCGCTCGAAAAAGCAAGTGGTGGCAAGTAACACTTTGGAGAAGCTCAGCTTTCCTTACGATATGGGTGTCTTTTTAGGGGACCCCCCCAAAACTAGTGGTTGTTCTTTTGGTTTTACTCTCTTTGAAAGCACAAACACGGGGTACCCACAAGAAAACAAACCCATGTACTGTTCGACTGTCGAGCTGTATTCGATGCTCAATCTCTTCTCCGTTCAGGCACCCTCGACACGTCCAGCCTCGGACCCGGAATTAGAGGCTCAACAAATCAAGCCCCATCTGAATTCAAACTGATATATCAAATGAGTCAAAGGCAATTCCACTTGCAAAATGGTAGTTTTCTAATCTTTAATTGGGAACATCAATACATGTGCTCAACGAGCTTCTCCAAACTAGAACATTCGGATTTGATGAGTCTTGCCCCGGCAAAGGGCATGCCTTTGCACAGTGACCGATGCAACCTGCCGGGACCCGAGAATTCGGGGGGTACTGGGGTACTTCTCAGGGGAGGGGAAATCACCCTTGATTCACAGCCTGACAATACTTTGAGCGGCTTCGATGTACTCCCAACAGCCGGTGATGTGAGGTCCCCGACTTCTTCAGGACGGACAGTGCTTTGCTGGCCGCCACCTGGCAGCTAAACCAAGCATAGGTCAAGTTAATGTAATGTTGACCACATATTAATCAACCGCAGTTTAATAGGGTGTTCACCTCCAAAAGTGATGATTCCCGACTAAACCCAGGGACGCCCGCCTATTCCTAAACTGGGGTTGAGTAATATTGGCTCAACATTATTCCTCTCTCAAGTGGCAGTGACTGCGTATGCACATCACTGATCAAAGCTGGGTCTAAGACAGGATGAGATGGTATGCATGGGGATCGGCATCCTGGACTAGAGGTGAGTTAGGCAACAATTCCCTGAAACAGGTACTCGTCTGCATCTTTGCTAAGCATCCAGCTGCTTCCATTTAACAAGGTGTGCTGAGAACCCCTCGAAATCTCTGCAACAACTCCTTCAACAGTTGTCTGATGGCGGTCAAAGCAACTCGTTGAAGCATGTGTCCTTGACGTATACAGAAACAAGGCTCATGGCGGAGATGCAAGCGTTTGTGGGCGTTTTCAGCTCCAATCCGCTCTAAGATTGGTTCCCTACCACTAGCGGTGCAAGGCCTAGCCCTTCAGTCCGTGGTCAACTCAGCCAAGTTGAGAGCCCATAGAACACTCATAGAACGACTCAGTTCCCATGCAGCAGGAAATGCCATGCGCGTCCATGGCGTCAGCTTGCCGCAAGAATCAATCTCGCGCAGGCCTTGGGCATGTCTTCCTCCGGCACTGACTGTGCCTTCGCTCACTTGGCCAAAGCCAACACCGAAGATCACCCATTGCTTGAAAGAGGTCAGGGAAGTGGGTGAGTGAAATACCGCCATGCTGATCGGGCAACACGTCCCAGACGTCTGAGAACCCACACTTCACCAGACCGGTGCAAAGTAGGGTGGTTCCGGAAGCTTGAAGCGATGTTCAAATGGTTGGTTTTCCAGCCAATAAGCGAAACAAACACAAGCTCCATGCAACACCATGCAAGTCGCAAGTCATCCAGTACGACTCACACCGTCAATGGAGGGACCATCCTCCTCCTGGCCCCAAAATGGCATCAACGCATGGGCCATCTAGGTCAAAGCCTCAAGATCAGGCAGAAACGGACTCATGTTCGATTTGGCCAGGGCCAGTCATTTAATCGGATGAGGGGCTCAGCAATGGCTTCAATTTCGCTTTGCCCTTGAGACTTGACCCAGCAACATTAATAGACCATGCACCAGCAACAAAGAAAAGGTCTGCCATGGACTCATGGCCATTCTATTTGTTCCAGGTGCCGCGCCTCTGCCTCCACCTGGAAAGGATCGCAGGAAACGGGGACAGGCGGTTGACTATTTGCCTTTCCTTCTATACTGACAACATCTTCATGGATCCAAGCGTGCGGTTCTGCTGACTTCTCTCAATGCCATCACTGTCTACGCAGACTCCCATTCTGCCAGCCCAAGCTTGTGCGCACGGCTGCACTCTGCAGCTCCTGGCAACCTACCACGGGTATTTCACTGTAGCCCCGTCCTGCAAGGCAAGTGACTCGTAGCCGCCATGGAGCTTGCTCCTGCTGTTCCTGCCAGTTGCCAAAGAACAGCCCGCTCACAGTCGGCAAACAGTCTTAACCCTCCGTGAATCGGTCCGTGAAGTACTAAAACCACTTTGAACCAGGGCGGTTCTTCCAAAATCACCAAGCTGCATGCAGGTTTTGGCACGGAACTCACAGTACAGCCCTGTGTTCTCAAATCTAACAGCGCCGCTCATCTCCACCACTGAGCCCCCCCGTCCACCAGCCTTATAGATTTCCTGTCACTTCCTGGTGGGCGCAAGACTTTTCAACAGGCCCATTGAGGTCACGGCATCTTTCTTGCTTTTGGTTCGCCTTCACCGGACCGCCCCATGCAGTTGAGGTCCCAATTTGAAGAAAAACACGCACAAAAGGCTCACTGTCCTCATACTTGCATTACTAACAAGGGGATGGCATGCCTGTCCGTGCGCGCGTTCGTTTTGGCCGTGCAGGAATACATGCGCGTGCCAGTGTGGGTGCAATCCCTGCCCCCTTAAGGCCCCCCCAATATCACATTGGTGGGCCAAAACTCCGAAGTCCCCAATACTAAATTTTGAAAAACTAATTCTCAACCAATATGCTAATGTTCTGGCGATTGGTGTTTCGAACCCGAGTCCAGTCGAACAAGGGGCCCTTGAGAAACAATGCTGAACCAGTAATTTGGAAACCATTTTGAAGCCCAACTCAAAGCGGACACATGGCCCTGAACTCTGCTGCTGTTTACAATCTGAACCCTTTCGCGATGCTTTCGTGACCGCATGTGCTGTTTTCGCGGGCTTCGTTTTCCTTAAAACGATTCGCGGCGGATTTTAAGTGAGTTCCACAAGCGGCAGTGCACCCCAATGCAAGAATATGAAAAACAACTCTGTGTCTGTGTCTGTGTCTGTGTCTGTGTGTGGGGGTGCCCGCCCACCCGCCCGCCCGCCCACCCGCCCGCCCGCCCGCCCGCCCTGTCCGTGTGAGTGTGTCTATGTCTGCGTCTGTGTGTGTGTGTGTGTGTGTCTGCGTCTGTGTGTGTGTGCGTCTGTGTGCTTCTGTGTGCGTGTGTGTGGCTGCGTCTGAGTTCGTGTCTGTGCGCGTGCGCGCGCAAGCGTCTGTGTCTGTCTGTCTGTCTGTGTGTGTGTGTGTGCGAGGGTGTGTGTGCGTGTGTGTGTGTGTGTGCGTGTGTGTGTGTCGGAACAAATCACAAACTTCTGCAAGCCTGCCCGAAATGAGCCTCCAACGGCGGAACACCGTGGTGTTTCATGTGAAGTTGATGCTTTGTTTTCTCTAGGATTCTAGGAGTGGCGGCTGGCTGCTGAGCAAATGGCCCGGGTAGGCTGGGCTTTGGGCTGGGTTGGTTGGGTTGGCAGGTTGGCCAGGATGTGGGAAGGGCAACGTTGCTAGCATGACTGGTCACTGATTTCAAGCAGGTACTGTAGCTTGGGGCAGGAGCAGCGCAGGCGTCAAATAGGTTTAGGGCTTGGTCAACGTCGGTGTTTGCTTGGGGCTAGCTGAAGCTTGGCAGCCGGTCGATGTAGGGATTGGTTGAACTAGGTTCGAACTTGGGTGAACTTGGGGGTGGCTTTGCGCCGGAACTTGGGATTCCTTGGGTGGGGACCAAAGCTCAGCCCGCAACCCTCGCACAAACCAAGCATTGGCCCTGACAAAGCCCTGAAGCAGCTAAGCTAATTGCTCTATTCACCCCGAGGCAAATGAGTCCTACTGGGAATGCTGACCTCCGCCTGACCATGTCCCAGTATCTCAACAACAAGCTTTTAGGACCCCCCATCTCTCTGACCCAAGAAATCAGCGGAGAAACCAAGACTCTCAACGCATGAGAAGCACGGCCCATCTTTTTCCCGTCCCACTCCTGAACCGTGGAAGCGCAGCATTGCAAGGATCAGCACACCGACATGAAGAATCTGCTGGGGTAGATGTAAACTGTAAACGTCTGATCGCCGATTGGCAGATGCTTGCCGTAGGGCCAGCTGATGTTGACACCGTGCTCGCCAAGTCGACTTTCCAAGAAGTTTGACGTGGCTACAGGCCTTCATTGACTGAAGCTGAGCGGATGGAAGGACACCGGGGCGGGGTGGCGAGCATGTTGACCGCCCCACAGCCTTTGGCCGTGTAGATTGGGCTCAAACATGCCTGCAGCAAAGGCAAAGGGTGATCCCAGATCAATTGATTATGAAACCGTTGTTGCCCAGGCATAAAGAGTAAACTCTTCTGAATACCGTGTCAGATGATATGATCAAGTTGTTGGCAATCTTCAAGCCTTAGCCTGCCAAAGCATGGAAATTTCACGCGTATGAAATACCACAGGCAGCATCTCCATTTTTGCAACCATGGCGAACCCGGAGTTTGAGCGAGAAAAAAACCTCGCAAGCGTGCAGTAGCTGTATGCCGCTAGCCACACCATGAATTATTGTGTCACTGCTTCGCAGCGCCGGAATCGCCCGGTAAAAAACACCCAAGAGGACATCCAGGGGTCATGAGTCCCCCGAACCTCGATCGCGCGCTTCAAACGGAAAAATGATCTCGACCTGCGGCCAATCTTTCAAGCGTTGGCCGGCATCCATTCCTTTAGGGATGGGTTGGTATATGATCTGCGCAGCATTCGTCAACTCTGTCTACAGCACCGCCCTTTCAACATCGTCCTCCTCGGCAACTTTGCCGGCTGGAGCGACAGGGGTGGGGACCTGTGCCACCTGTGCTTCCGGCGCGCGCTTCCAGTACACGTTCTCCAAGTTCCACACAAGGACGTAAAGTGAAAAGAAGGCGGTGAAGGCGATGCCATAGGCTCCACCTACCTCAGGGATCAACACAACGGGAAACCTAAGGGGATCGAGCGGCCTGACGCAACAAGCTTCGGACGACGGCTTCACTGCCCCGTGATGAGCTGCAGTCTTCGAGTGCACAGGGTTTGCTAAGTTGTGGCCAAGCACCTCACCGATGAGCGACACCAGGAAATCCATCTTCTCCAACTTCTTGTCATAGAACTCTGGCTGCATGACGATTTGCGCCAACTGCGCGCCTGCCCTATGCGCCTGCAACGGTGCAGGAAATTGCTTTTCAAGTCCTACATGCCACAGCCCTTTTTGATTTGAAGCATGCCTCTGCCCAAGTGTGCACAAGCCTAGCGTGGAAGATGGAACCTGGAATCTGATTTTGCGCCCACCAAACATCAGAGCTGCGCTTTGCCCGTGGGCTCACCCCCAACACAGGAAACACACTCTTGTTTGTTGACAAGAAGTTGCTGGGTCGGGACTTATAAGCTCAGCGATACTGGAAAGCACCAAGCCCATACAAGGCGATACACAGCTTTTCCCTGTTCTTGCGCGGCCAGGTGCTGTCGAGTCTTGTACTTGCCTCCTGGTCTCGAGTTTTCCATTGAAGCCAACTGCAAACACCAAACAAAAGCCGAGCCCCTTGACAGCCCCATACGCACTTCACAACAAGCACAAGGTAATCAGCCCAAGGCAACCTCATGAGCGGTCCCTGGTTCACAACTGTTGGTCTCTCAAGCTGGACACAGTCTTTTAAGGGCAAGATACCAGCCGGGTATGCTTGGGTCTGAGTGATTAAGCCTGGCAGCTCAACATGCAAAGAAGTAATGTTGGCAGAACCGCAAATGTGACTTATGCGCCCGAAAAGGTGGTCGTCCCTGACAGCATAGCTGCCATAGCTCATGCATGTGTCCGCATGTGGACCATGCAACACATCTGTCTAAATCTTGGCAGCAGCAAGGCATGCGCTTGCAGAACCCTCAACACTTCCCTGCGTCGCCCTCCGCTTTTTGCAGATGGCCGACCTCCCGTATAATATTTCGCAGCCCCCGCTTCCCATAACCAGCCCTGCCGAAGGACGGCCAGACGGGCCTGGCAGCCGCTGTGCTGGGGCTCCAGGGCCTCCGTGGAGAGGAAGTTCACGAACCACTCGTGGCGCAGGTGCTTGTAACTGCCCTCCTCTTGCGTCAAGTCCTGATGGCACCACGGGCAGGCACGGACGTGCAAAATTTGGAACCGAAGCTTTGGGACAGGATCCTTGCGACAGAGCTTGGGCACCACATGTTTTGCTGCGACGGTGTTATTTTCTTGACTCAGTTGCAACCGTTGATGGCGCGGGCGTTGCTTTCATGCTTTCGATTAACATCCAGAGTGAGACTCGAGAACAAGGAAACGCATGGGACGTCGATACTGGACGATCAAGGCCCACAGGAAACACGGCTGCTTGCGCTGACTCATGCACCAGCTGTCGGCCGAACATTCCCTCCGGTACACGCGTTGTTTTCACTTGGCCATCCCAGCGAAAAAAAAAAACATGTCGAGCTGTCCTACATCATATTGAATATGACGTTGCTAGGGCATCTGCCAATTCAAAGGCTACATCGGTGACATGTACATGTGATTGTGCTCACAACACTGGCCCATAGTCGCCAACAGAGTCCTTGGCTCAACTCAGATTGTCCCGCTCTCCAAGTTGCCCGTCTGCAATGCTTGTCTCTCAAAGGCAAGCTTGCCAAGTCAATAGTATTCGTCTGCAAAGTCAGAGCTCCGCTTTTTCACGGATGCCAACTCTCCAGCAGGGATCCCCCGCCCAGTCCTGCGTCTTCACGTACGTCATGGATGACCGGCCAGCCTGGACCGCATCAGAAGGCAGCCGTTTTCCCAGAGAATTTTGAGGCATTCGCAGTGCTGATGCATCAGCAGTCGTTTGCTCACCAACAAGGGCGAAAAAGCTCCCTGAATGGTCTGATTGATTTCACCTTCAAATATTAGGTCATTCGGGCACCGCACAGCCATAGGAGGGGTGGAGAGACCATGCAAGTGACATGCAAGTGGCAGCGAGCTCACAGGTCCCCCCTATCAGCTTGAAGCCCGGCCTCAACCATCTGATTCATTTGCATGGACAACGCCTGCGCGGAAAATGCGATGCCAAGGGAGGTCAAGGCTTCAGCCGTATTTGGAGCGATGGAAACTGTTGATACCGTTAGATACACCTCTGTGTGCATGTGTCTGCTGTCACAATTGTGCCGCTCTGTTGACTGTGCTGATACGTCCAGCCATGCCAACCAAGCTGTGGTCGGCTGGTGCGTTTGCACTTGTAAACCAACCATTGCTCAAGTGTTGACTATGTTTGGCTCGACTAGCCGCTTCCTTCTTTCAATACCAACATGCTCGCAGCTCTGGATAAAGTCGAAGCCCACAAGCATCCAGGTAGCGATGGAGAGGAACTAAGAGAACTGAACAACAGCTGCGGCTTGACAGGAGCGCGAACGCTAAGCCTATTCGGGGTGTATCGTGAACTGGCGATTTGAGCCTGCAGGCTCCTTAACGATCGCGGGACATGGACGACATGGACGTTGCAGTGCACATTGTAGGCTTCTGGCAAATGCAAACATGTTGTTCGAGTCTAAAGTTTAAATTCAACCTCGAGGGAACGTGTCGAATGGACCGAGTTGCGATGATCACTTCAGAGCGTGATACGCACACAAAGGGATAGACACCAGTGTCATCCTGCGGCAAATCCAACAGGTGCCAGGTTTGGATCAAACTAAGAACCCGACTTCATGCCGCTATTGCATGGCCTGTGCTTCACACACACACGCGCACATGTAACACATGTACACTGTGACAGCCAAAGAAGGCCCAGCCAAGTCGGCAAAGCTGGGCTGATGCACTCGGGGCAGCTCCACGATATCAATGTTTAAGATCTGTGGTCACCTTTGCGCTGATGCACGTTGTCCATGCGGGTGCTATCAATTTGGAACGTGTCGTATTAAAGCCTCGACAATGTTCTGTTCGTCGATGTGAAACAAGAACAACCGGACAACTGCTTCCGACAGTTGCCCTGGAACTCTGAGCGCGCCCTGCAGCAACAAAGTATCTAGAAAGGAACACACAAATATGTGCATCCTGCATGTTGGCACCCACATTCAGCAGCAGGTATGCACCATTAGATGAATGCAGGCACTCCGCAATGCCGTGTCAGTTGCAAGTGGTTCTTAGATGTCACCTCACCTAAGTGGCGAAAGGAATCCCATATCCGGAGTACTTGTGGGAAGCAGTCATCCTCCAGTACTGTGCTTTCAAATCCAAACGCATGCTCGGGCCTCCAAAATCCTAGTCAAGCGGATGGAACTTCAATCCAGGGTACCTGGTCAAAATATTGGCGTCACAAAACCTGATCCTTGAAAAGGGCCATGAGTACCCTAAGTCTGTTGAAATGGCAGAAGCCCATTGGCGTGCTTTGCCCATGGCCAGCGGTCGCCTGTGACCAGATCTTGACGCCAGAGCTGTTGCCACCAGACCACCAGGCATGGAGACCTGACGCAGGCTGGCAGAGTCTCAGAAAAAAAAGCTCAGGTGATATCCCCAACAGCATGCGGTGCTCTGTTTAGTGTTCGCACCACCCCGCAAGCCCCTGGTGGAACCCTGGTGGAACCCTGGTGGAACCCTGGTGGAACCCTGGTGAAAACCCTGGTGGAACCCTGGTGGAACCCTGGTGAAAACCCTGGAACCCTGGTGGAACCCTGGTGGAACCTGGTGGAACCCCTGGTGGAACCCAGGTGGAACCCTGGTGGAACCTGGTGGAACCCCTCGGGTGCCTTACCTCAGGGCCGCCCCGGACCACCCCGGAGCCTATCTGGGCTAAGACCCCAAAGCTTTCAGCTGTTTGGGGGGGGAAAGAAAAACACGCCTTCCAAACTGCCTGAAACTTTGAAACTTGGAACCACCACGCAAAAAGTGAGGGGTCCTTGTTCTGGCAGCCCGACTGGTAAAACGGGTCACCCTGGGATCGCTCCCCAACTGTCCTTCTCGGGCACCGTGGGAGAAGCACATCTCCAGCTCGCGCTCCTCCCCCGACTGCAACGCCAGGCACTGGCCGCTGCTTCCACTTTGGCACCCAGACAACCACAGCCAGCAGCTCGCCTTCGGCAACCGCAATGCGAGCAAATGTAATGATGGTATCCCGGAAATGCGTCGGGTTCCAGGTTGAAGACCTTGAATTGCGAAGTCATTGTTCAACACATTCCACGTTTTCAGAAGGTATTCATGCACCTTGAAGCTCATGAGCTGCCCACAAAGCAACCAAACGCACTTCAATTTCGGCATGCAATCTCATCTGTTTGTTGCTGTAAACAGTCGCGCGGATATTGAAGATCGACTTGAATGACTTGACCCCCCTACTAACTGCCAGCCTCTAACCACCTGAGTTGTGGGCCCGTGACATTTCGCCCACATGCCAAAAGATCTCATGGCCGTGGGGGGGGGGGTTATCTCTCGACTCCCCTCATGCGATATTTTTTTGCTGTCCACTCGCATGTGGCATACCACAAGCCCAATCTGGGGCCAAAGGCCGGAAGCCAAAGGGCCAACCATGGCAGCAACAGTTGTAGAACATACCATGACAACAGTTTCATGCAAGGCCACGAGTGGCCACAAACTGCTCGCCATGCAACTCCATGCCAAGTCTGAGCGCACCTCGATGCACTGCACTTTCATGGGGAAGGGGCCGTAGGCAACCGACCAGTCGATGACCAGCGTCTCGGTGGGGGGCATGCGCTGATGCTCTGCAAACCAAACAACGGCATAGATCAGGATCACGGGCACCATGAGCATCGTCAAGCAACAGCCGATCTTGGATGGAGCGCGCTCCGGCTCCATGTTGTGAAACACATCCACCCAATGAATCAGCTCAATCCTCGCCTTCATCTTTTGAAAGGAACTGGCGGCAGCCATGGCGTCAAAAGCCGCGCGTGACTTGTGAGAGGTGCGAGGCAAAGCCGCTGAAGCAATACAAGCGATTCACAACTGACCATCCAGCTACAAGCTAAATCCCTTCCGTTGTCCGCTCTCTCTCTCTCTCTCTCTCCCCCTCCTCTCCCTTCCCTGCACCTAGCGGAATCATTTGCACTTGCCGCTTGTCAGAAGTGTGCACAGCACATGCCAAGGCATGCAGCTCCCAACCAAAGCTTGTTTTTACCTCTGTGTCAATTAGGAGGCACATGAGCAGACTGACGGCAAGAGGCGGGGATGTAAAGTCTGGGTCAAAAGGCTGCCAGGCAAGGCATAGCTGCTCATACCCTTGACAACGCTCAACATATCCCATCGTTCGCATGCTCCTTTTACGCGATTATCCGGCAGACAGGGTCTTCTCCGCATCGACGTCCAGGATGCGCTGGCAGCATGCTTGACAAATTGCATCAGTTGATGTGGTGGCAACTTCTCATGTTGAGGTCCTGTGGGTGGAGGAAATCAGTGACCACGTGGATTCAAGCAGGATGTGTGCCAAATCTGAAGTTGGGTATGCTTCTCAAACCCTGTACATTTGTCAAGCTACTAGTCAAACACGTATTCAACCATGAGCACACACACCGACTTCTGAACAAGCCAAGCACCCAACCAATCAAACCATTCAGCAGGGTGCAAAAGATCGTTAGGCGGCCTCTTAAGCATTCAAGGCTTTGGCAATACCTCTTCCAATTTGGCCGCTGAATACGCGGTGCATACCCAGAGCTAATTGCTCATAGATCCTTGAGTATGAATCATGCACGTCTCCCTCGTGTCTTGTACGACGTAGTTGCACTGCGGTACCATTGGATTAGACTAGTATCCAAGTCTCAGAAAACGCGTGGATCCTGAATGAAGGATGGTTGGCTATCATTGTCACTGCCTCTTCACACCAACCTTATGCTGCCAATTGGTAACAGGCAGCCGCTCATGGCATCAGCATTAGTATCTGTCGTCTCGTGGCAGTCAACCAAGCCGCAACTGTGCAAGGCACCTGCATGACCTGGTGCGAGGACACGTAGAGATCCATGTTCAGCATTTGCCTAGTACCTCCAGATCCGGACGGTGGACATTTAAAATTGTGGAGGACGCCTCACGCGAAAAGGTGAACAAAGACGTCAATCTGTGTAGATGTGCGGCTATGATTGTAATTTCCTTTCTTTTGTCGCCCGAGTTTATTTGGCTGTCCAACAAAAAGTCTGCTCACAGTAAAACAAGACTAGTTTTGTGACGCGATGAGTCCACCAGCACAGGACCTGAGCTGCAAGGCTGATTCAGGAAAGCATCGCACCAGGCATGGTGTACCGGGGATGCTCATGCTGAAATAGCGGCAACCATGGCCGCAACCACTCAGGGCTACCCGAGAACCAAGCATCTCTGGGCAGCCCGGCCATCTGAAAACTCCAGTTCCATGTGCTCCTCAATCAAAAAAAGCACGGCTGTAGTTCGATCCATGCAATGCAACCATCTCCAGGGTTCTGCCTGTGATGAAAGTGAAGATGCCAACTTTTGCCGTGAGACTGGGAGCTCATTGCAACGTTGTGGCAGAAGCTACGGGTTCTGTTTCTGTTTCTCTGTGGGAATAACAGCACTTCACCAAAATTGCACCACACATTGCATTGATCCTTCACCACGGCATCTGGCGGCTCTCTTTGAGCCACATGGTCAACAGTTAACATAACTCTCAGGCTCCGGACATCCCATGGTGCCGTCTATTCAGCGACTACGACCATATTCAATAAGCCAAACCTGCCAGGCAGCCCCGCTCGAGCTGCATCCACAGGCGCCTCAATGACTCAAGGTAGGAGGTGCCAACGCATTTTTATCATCCACCCCTTTGGGGTTAATGTTGGATCCCCAAAAGCACACAGCAGCTGTGTGTGTTGAGCGCTTTTGCATGCTTGAGATGGTCCATGTATAGGAACTGAGAAGCGCCAGTGCGGAAAGCTTCCTGGTAGATTCTGTCCGTCCCTGATCAGCGCCGACCACTCCTCTTACCATACCAAAGGTCTGCAAACGCCGGCCACGTCGCACAAGGAAATCTGCTTCTGATGGATTCAGAACCCACACAACCAAAAGCCCAAGGTCTCAAACAATTTGAAGCAGGCGGTCTAAAATGAAAGCACGGCAGAGAACCCAACAGTCCGGGAGGCTGAGACCGCTACCTCTGGTGTTTCTTCCGGCTCCTGAGCCTGGACGCAAAGGAGTGCAGCCAGAGTGGGGGCGAAGGGCCGCAATCTCTATCCATGTTTCCGGGGGCAATGGCAATACGCAACACACAAAGACAAACAAAACAGGTGTTGGCGAAGGGCGTTGACCAATGGAAGCGCTGAATCAAGTCTTAGTCAGCGCCGCAAATCTCGTTCTAAACACTGGAACTGCTCCGGTCCTGGCCTTTCCGCTTTCCCACACATTGCTTCGAAACTCATTCGAAGGGAGATGATGTTGCATTTGTAAGACAAATACAGTTGTTGGTGGGGAAACATTTGGTAAAATAAAGATAATTATGTGAACATGGATAGAGGAACTTTGTTTAAATAAATCAAAGAAGGTTACTGAATTTCAACTAAATTTATAAACATGAATGGTGATATTGATGTTGCTGGTGAATTGAAGAAGGTTTAACTGATGAATGTGAATATACGCAGTTTGTCAGCATTGATTGTGCAATTACGACAGTTCATAATGCATTCTTGAAAGATTATAATGTCAGCAGACGATTAGTAAACCCTCCCCGATTAAAGGTTTCCCCTTTTCCCCCCCAGGTTCCAACCAACACTAAAGTAAAGGGCCAACAAGATTCCCCAAAAAACCCTACCCAATAATTTTTGAGCCCTCCCGAAAACCCCCCCTGATTAAAGGTATCCCTCTGCAGCCCCCAAGCCAACAAAACCTGCCAGAAAGGTGCTTTCCTTCTTGCTTAGTATTTGCTGAGTCTGTGCTTAAACCCACCAATACTAAGTCACTATTGAACCCCTCAAGTTTTCCCCAAAAATGTGCTTCCCCAGAAATGCATTTGTCCTTTGTTTTTTTTTTAAATGACAAGGTTTTCAAGCTCACAAAGGGGACCCCCCTTGGAGGCCAGTCCCCCCTCATTAACAGAAAACCACCCGCAATTAATCAGGGGTCTTTTGGGCTCAAAACCAAAAAAATATGCTGTTGCCTTTTAAAGTCCTACTGCCCTGAAGGGACCAAAAGTAAGAGGACGAGGACCGCAGGGGCTCCAGAGTAATCAGGGGGGTCCTCCCAAAAATCTCATTTTTTGGGACTTGTCCAAACCTTGTCAACCTTGAAGGGGGGGGGCGGTTTACTAATCAGTTGGCACCATTAACAAGTGTAAACATTGCAAATTGTGTTAGTCATAAATGTAGAAACAGTATGACTGACAATGATATACACAAATTGGCCCACTCACCGAGAAATGGTTCAATATTGTATGAACAGACAGAGCACACACTAAGTTTATGCGCCGATCATGCAACTACGAATTTTATTTCAACAAATAGTATATATTATTTTAAAAAAAAAAAAAAAAAAACATGCCTATTCTGAGATACGTTGACAGAACTTATATGCATAAAATTCTAGTAGCATATTGTGCAGTCCTTACAGCTGGCAATTCTATTGTGAATTGACTACTTTACACCATTTTAGCAATACTATCGACACGTTATGTTTGAAAAACAAAAAACATTCTCCAGATATACAAGTGCATATTCATGGTGATTGAGCACACATGAATAACCCGTGAATCATGTAACATGTTTGAGAAAGGTATAAGTTCAATATTGCATTGTATATCAAATGATTAGAGCAAAGGCACCTGGACCAAAAAGCAAACTTAGGCATATGCATGTACATTGCTGTGTTGTATTGTCATATGCATGTATATGTTATTATGTTGTATTGTTTGTATTGTTTGTACCATAGCCTATGACATAATGTCATCTTATATTGTACTATATTGCAGTATAGTATGTCAGGTCATATTGTTTGTAGCATATCACACTACATTACATTCAATCATAGTATAAAGTTCCGCTTTGTTGTATTTTAGTTTGTTTGATGTGTTTTATAATATTTTGATATGTGATATGTTCCGTTTTACATATCATGTATCATATTATATATTAGTTGTACATGGTATAGGTTATATATAATGTGGCATATTGCCATGTAATGCATTCTCTTCATATATGACTTGTATCCCATATTGTACAAAGTAAATGATTTACTATGTACCAACATGTCTATAGTTTATATTGTGTGGTGTATGCTTATGTTTTACTATATGTTGTATGGGAGCATGATAGTGTATTTCATATGTTGCACGAATATTGTATATATATATATATATTAATATATATATGAGGAGCGGACGAAACCCTTTACTTGGCCTTAGTACTTTTTTTAACGTCATCGTTTTTGGGGGAGACCTCATCGTTTTACAGTGTTTTCGAACTTTGGCAGATCCGGCTCCAAAATCGCAACTTTCTAGCACAAGTCTAGTACGCGAAGTACACTTCCGCAGCTCCAGCTCGAAATTCGCAACTTTGTAGTACAAGTCTAGTACGCGAAGTACACTTCCGCAGCTCCAGCCCGAAAATTGCGAAATACAATTCCGCAGCTCCAGCTCGAAAAGCGAAACTTGGCAGGCAGTACAAGTCTAATACGCGAAGTACACTTCCGCATCTCCAGCTCGAAAATCGCAACTGTGCAGTACAAGTCTAGTACGCGAAGTACACTTCCGCATCTCCAGCTCAAAAATCACAACTTTGTCGTGCAAGTCTAGTACGCGAAGTACACTTCCGCAGCTCCAGCTCGAAAATCGCAACTTCGTAGTACAAGTCTAGTACGCGAAGTACACTTCCGCATCTGCAGCTCGAAAATCGCAACTTTGTAGTACAAGTCTAGTACGCGAAGTACACTTCCGCAGCTCCAGCTCGAAAATCGCAACTTTGTAGTACAAGTCTAGTACGCGTAAGTACACTTCCGCAGCTCCAGCTCGAAAATCGCAACTTTGTAGTACAAGTCTAGTACGCGAAGTACACTTCCGCATCTCCAGCTCGATCATCGCAACTTTGTAGTACAAGTCTAGTACACGAAGTACACTTCCGCATCTTCAGCTCGAAAATCGTAACTTTGTAGTACAAGTCTAGTACGCGAAGTACACTTCCGCAGCTCCAGCTCGAAAATCGCAACTTTGTAGTACAAGTCTAGTACGCGAAGTACACTTCCGCATCTCCAGCTCGAAAATCGCAACTTTGTAGTACAAGTCTAGTACGCGAAGTACACTTCCGCAGCTCCAGCTCGAAAATCGCAACTTTGTAGTACAAGTCTAGTACGCGAAGTACACTTCCGCATCTCCAGCTCGAAAATCGCAACTTTGTAGTACAAGTCTAGTACACGAAGTACACTTCCGCATCTCAGCTCGAAAATCGCAACTTTGTAGTACAAGTCTAGTACGCGAAGTACACTTCCGCAGCTCCAGCTCGAAAATCGCAACTTTGTAGTACAAGTCTAGTACGCGAAGTACACTTCCGCATCTCCAGCTCGAAAATCGCAACTTTGTAGTACAAGTCTAGTACGCGAAGTACACTTCCGCATCTCCAGCTCGAAAATCGCAACTTTGTAGTACAAGTCTAGTACGCGAAGTACACTTCCGCAGCTCCAGCTCGAAAATCGCAACTTTGTAATACAAGTCTAGTACGCGAAGTACACTTCCGCATCTCCAGCTCGAAATTCGCAACTTTGTAGTACAAGTCTAGTACGCGAAGTACACTTCCGCATCTCCAGCTCGAAAATCGCAACTTTGTAGTACAAGTCTAGTACGCGAAGTACACTTCCGCATCTTCAGCTCGAAAATCGCAACTTTGTAGTACAAGTCTAGTACGCGAAGTACACTTCCGCATCTCCAGCTCGAAAATCGCAACTTTGTAGTACAAGTCTAGTACACGAAGTACACTTCCGCATCTCCAGCTCGAAAATCGCAACTTTGTAGTACAAGTCTAGTACGCGAAGTACACTTCCGCAGCTCCAGCTCGAAAATCGCAACTTTGTAGTACAAGTCTAGTACGCGAAGTACACTTCCGCAGCTCCAGCTCGAAAATCGCAACTTTGTAGTACAAGTCTAGTACGCGAAGTACACTTCCGCAGCTCCAGCTCGAAAATCGCAACTTTGTAGTACAAGTCTAGTACGCGAAGTACACTTCCGCATCTCCAGCTCGATCATCGCAACTTTGTAGTACAAGTCTAGTACACGAAGTACACTTCCGCATCTTCAGCTCGAAAATCGCAACTTTGTAATACAAGTCTAGTACGCGAAGTACACTTCCGCAGCTCCAGCTTCGTACAAGTCCAGCTCGAAAATCCAACTTTGGTCTTAGTAGCGCAAGCTAGTTCCGAAGTACACTTCCGCATCTCCAGCTCGAAAATCGCAACTTTGTAGTACAAGTCTAGTACGCGAAGTACACTTCCGCATCTCCAGCTCGAAAATCGCAACTTTGTAGTACAAGTCTAGTACGCGAAGTACACTTCCGCAGCTCCAGCTCGAAAATCGCAACTTTGTAAGTACAAGTCTAGTACGCGAAGTACACTTCCGCATCTCCAGCTCGAAAATCGCAACTTTGTAGTACAAGTCTAGTACGCGAAGTACACTTCCGCATCTCCAGCTCGAAAATCGCAACTTTGTAGTACAAGTCTAGTACGCGAAGTACACTTCCGCAGCTCCAGCTCGAAAATCGCAACTTTGTAGTACAAGTCTAGTACGCGAAGTACACTTCCGCAGCTCCAGCTCGAAAATCGCAACTTTGTAGTACAAGTCTAGTACGCGAAGTACACTTCCGCATCTCCAGCTCGAAAATCGCAACTTTGTAGTGCAAGTCTAGTACGCGAAGTACACTTCCGCCTCCAGCTCGAAAATCGCAACTTTGTAGTACAAGTCTAGTACGCGAAGTACACTTCCGCAGCTCCAGCTCGAAATTCGCAACTTTGTAGTACAAGTCTAGTACGCGAAGAACACTTCCGCAGCTCCAGCTCGAAAATCGCAGCTTTGTAGTACAAGCCTAGGCTGTACGCGAAGTACACTTCCGCATCTCCAGCTCGAAAATCGCAACTTCTCAGTACAAGTGTCGTATTTACAGAGCCGTGTGTTCGTTAAGGGTCATCGTTTTTGGGGGAGACCTCATCGTTTTCCATGGTTTTGGGATGTGTTACTCAAAAGCGTGCCCCGTCTTGATAAAGTGGTCTACGCGTGTTTTGTCCGTGGCTCATATATATATGTATGCGTGTGTGTGTGTTACATCATCTATAGTATGGTCACTAGTCCAACTTGAGCCCACACTTACCACCAGAAGCACAATACGTGCCCCAACAAACGAGACATGTCCACACCATCTATACCGACAAAATCCTCCGGCAAGAAACCTTCAAGCACAAGGTTCTGCGAGCCTTGTCCTCAGTTTCGGGCCTGAGCAGCGCGGGACACAATGAATCCAACAACAACAGCTCTGAATCAACGATGCCTTGTTGCACTCATCCCAAGAGAAGCACCCCTGGTGTTCTCATGCGTGTTGGCGGTATCGAGGATTTGATGTGGCAAGGCTATGACTCACTGTGAGAATGGGCTTCGCAGATGGGGAATGGAGCCCCCTCCCCTGTTAGCAAATCCGCATGCATTTGGCACATTTCATCATGTCTCTCAGCTCAAACTTGCCTTCCACCAGCTGGCTGCATCCACCCTCTAACACCTTGGGCCCCCTCGTGCTGGACTCTGGCGCTGCCTCCTCCTTCGGCTCCTCTGCAACAGCTCAACAATATAATACCGAACCAAGCCCCATGCTGCAAACATGTGCTCATACGCAGAAAGTTGAAAACAACAGCACTGACAGTTAGATTGCCTATGTGGCCCAGGGCTGTTGGCTGGAGTCGAGCCCAATGTCATGGCAACGTTGGGACAGCCAGCGAATCACTGTCCGTAATGTCCGTAGCGTCTGCGCTGGGACCTGTAGAGCGACTGGGTGCAATTGCGCAAACCTAAGCTGAAGCCAAAGGTTTCCAGCAGAGGTGCCGCAAATGGCCAAAGGCCAAACACCGAAAAACGCAACCACTCAGCGGCTCCTCTGGCACTGCCCGTTGCAGTTTGCGGAAGTCAAACCTCGGGTTGCCGAAAGCGACGCGTAAGTCCCTCAAAATCCTAGGTGTGGCTGCTGCTTAAGCTACGTGCGGGATGTGAGTATGCCAACTTTAGGCTAGTTTTGCGGGTTTTCATCTCCAAGCCAGCCCCAACCCAGCCACCCAACCCTAAACGCACCCAACAGCAGCCTGGACATTACCCTTGCCGAGCCTAAATGAAACCCCGACCAACTCAAGAC